GGGGGGGGGATGAAAGTTACTTCGCATGGAAAATTCAACGTTTCTAAACAGGGAAAGGTGTAGAACAGTACTTCATATCATACATGTATAGCATACCTTACAACTATGATTGTTAATAATTTTTTAACGAAGGACGAGTGACAGCTAAAAACTGTTGAGAGTTACTCAGGGTCATGACTTTGACAACATATGTCAAGATCAAAGTCATTGGAGGGAGGTCCCCTGATTGAGACATTTACTATTTTAAAACTATAATTGTTAATAACTTTTTAACGAAGGGCGAGCGACGGCTAGTTGTTAAGGCAAAGTTACTCAGGGTCATGACCTTGACAACATATGTCAAGGTCAAAGTCATTGGAGGGAGGTCCCCTAATCGAAACATTTACCCTTTGTTTTAACGCTATCAAACGTACGAAGTTCCATAATGTTGTAACAAGTACAGAACGTAAAACGTGCAAACAAACGTTTGATAAACGAAGACGCGAGAACTCTTATGGTTCATTACCTTACGGATATTGCAATTTATAATTATTATACGTTTATACTCTTGAAAGCCGCAAAAAATATTATTTATAAAGCGCCGAATATCCGCCATTTTGTTAGCTTGGCGCGCTGGGAGTGGGAAGCGTCCCGCGCTGCGCACACCGCCGCGAGCCTCCGCGGTGCGTCTGCCAGCCTATCCCCACTCCTCGCGATTCGCGCGCGTAGAGAGCGATTGACAGGCGTACACGCTTGGCAGTAGTAGGCCGGACGAACGCGCTTATTCGGTTATATTTAAAAATTAATATCTCGTTAAATATTGCGTCAACTGAAAAATGGTATAAGACTTTTCGACTCAGTTCGGTCTACTCTACCTGCTCCTGAGAGGTGAACCGCTCGATTAATGACACCCTGTATATTCTTGTTTTTTAGATATACTTTTAACAATAATGTATAAATAAAATCTTTAATACTATAAAAAGTAATCAAACATCTTTTTCTTTTAGATATAAATACTTTATTTGCGGCTTTCAAGAGTATAAACATATAATAATTATAAATTGCAATATCCGTAGGGTAATGAACCATAAGAGTTCTCCCGTCTTCGTTTATCAAACGTTTGACTTGATTACCACGTAATGATGATTATGCTAACGATCTATGCCCAAAACTTATTGTTATTGATGACCTTATGCGTGAAGCATGTGATAATACTGTAATAGGTTTATTTACGAAAGGGAGTCATCATAAAAATTAGTGTCATTTTTATTACGCAAAATTTATTTCATCATGGACGCGGTATGCGAGATATTTCATTGAATGCTAATTATATAGATAGTTGTATTTAAAAATCCTAGGGATCGTGCCCAAATACAGCATTTGGCTCGTCAAGTTTATCCCGAAAATATTGAATTCTTATGGGAAATATGTAATGACGCAACATGTATACCGCATGGTTATTTATTACTTAATTTAAAGCAATCCACACCGGAAAATTGTCGATTTCGCACGTGCATATTTCCTGATAATAAATATCAATATGTTTACGTGCCTTGTAAATAGAAGTACAACACGGGAAATATCAATAATCTTATCTATAATATCTTTAAAATTATTTTATACATGTGCGACAGCGTTCTGTTTAACGTATTTATAGTCGAACAGAAATCCAAATCTTGTCAGTAGCTAAAATGTTTCTCATATTGACGGGTGATAATATTATCAACGATTTGACTGCTGAACAATTACAATTTATACCAAAGATTATATTATTACGAGAGTTCAGCAATCACATAGATTATCTATGGGATAAGCTCCCCGAGTATATTAAACGAGACCCAGAAGTGCGTGGCTATCGGCGGTGCTTAGAACATTATAACCTATCGACTCAACAATCGCATATTTATGGTCCAACACCGTTAATTAAAGATTGTTGTAAATGTAAAACCATTTGGGCCAGTTTCACCAACGTCAATTACTTAATCGACTGTGAAACTGACCAATCACATTTGCTGTTTAGTAGAACCATCTTTAAAAACCTACGTGATATTATCCTTATTTACTTAATTCTAATGACATGTATCATTTGTATAAAAGATTTGATATCAATAGTCGGCGCCAAGTTAAATTCTAATCTTTAAAAACCTACGTGGTATTATCCCTATTATTTACTTAAACCAATGACATGTATTGTTTGTATAAAAGATTTGATATCAATAGTCGGCGCCAAGTTATTCTACCTTATTACTTACTTTATTTTAATGACATTTATCATTTGTATACAAGATTTGATATCAACAGTCGGCGCCAATTTAAATTCTACCAAATTAAAAAGAAAAACACAGTGGTACCTTTAATCTTTAAGAACATATAGTACTATTATTTAAATTCCACTAAATTAAAAAGTAAAACCTAAGTGGAATTATCTTTATCTTCATACAATGAAACCTAAGTATATGCCTTTGTATTCTTATTAGAAGATCTTCCTATTCGAAACCAAGTGATTTAATTCTTTAAAAAAATTATATCACAATTAATTTTTAAAAACAAAATAAAAAAAGTTTGTTTAAATAGAAAAATTTTTTATGTAAAAACACTTCGCGCTGCTAGAGCGAATAAGAAAAACAATAAAAACTATCTAAAAGCTATAATAATTAATACAAATATATGTAAGGGTAATGATAACTTAAAAATTATAGTAAACATATTCTAAATGCTACATTTAATAAATAAAGTTTACTTTTCTTTTTTTATGTATTTCACTGGCATATACTGTACGCGAATATACATACAGGCTGCATACTTTAACTGTCGTAGTTTCTAATCTCTTTTATACAAAATGTTACATCCATATATAATTTTATTATGACGTTATTATATTGGGATTGAGATACAATTCACTCGCACATACATATACACGAATATATACACACTAAATACTTTAATTTTCGTGAAAATGTTTCTTATCTTTATTATTGTATTTTATTACATCGAGATCGAGAACTAGTAGCGCGAAGAGTTTTTACATAAAAAATTTTTCTATTTAAATAACCTTTTTTTATTTTGTTTTTAAAAATTAATTGTGATATAATTTTTTTAAAGAATTAAATCACTTGGTTTCGAATAGGAAGATCTTCTAATAAGAATACAAAGGCATATACTTAGGTTTCATTGTATGAAGATAAAGATAATTCCATTTAGGTTTTACTTTTTAATTTGGTAGAATTTAACTTGGCGCCGACTGTTGATATCAAATCTTGTATACAAATGATAAATGTCATTAAAATAAAGTAAGTAATAAGGTAGAATAACTTGGCGCCGACTATTGATATCAAATCTTTTATACAAATGATACATGTCGTTGATTTAAGTAAATAAGGATAATATCACGTAGGTTTTTAAAGATGGTTCTACTAAACAGCAAATGTGATTGGTCAGTTTCACAGTCTAGTAATTGACGTTGGTGAAACTGGCCCAAATGGTTTTTTGACCAACAGCATCCACTCTTAGCGCTTTTTTCTACCTTTTTTTTTGAAAAGGTAAGTTTATATATACATACAAAAGATACATGTTATGTCATTACATGAGGATAAAAATAGTACTACATGGATTTTATAGAATAACTTAGCGCCGACTATTTATATCAGATCTTTTATGCAAATAATATATGTCATTATATGAGAACAAAGATAGTACTACATGGGTTTTACTATTTATTTATTTTAAGAAGAATTAAACCATTTGGATTGAAATAGAAAGATTAGAATTTAACTTGGCGCCGACTATTAATTTATCTTTTATACAAATGATACATGTCATCAGAACCATTTGGATTGAAATAGGAAGATATTTTAATAATAACGACATGGGTTTTACTATTTAATTTAGTTGAATTTAATAAGAATAATTATCACATGGGTTTTTAAAGATAGTAGAATTTAACTTGGCGCCGACTATTGATATCGTATCTTTTATACAAATGATACCTGTCATTATATGAGGATAAAGATAGTACTACATGGGTTTCATAGAATAACTTTGCGTCGACTATTGATATCAGATCTTTTATACAAATGATACATGTCATCAGAACCATTTGGATTGAAATAGGAAGATCTTTCAATAAGACCTACATGGGTTTTACTATTTAATTTAGTACCGATCAGCTGTTTACTTCGCGTCACATATATGTATACACATACGCAACCTTTCTTTCTTTTATCGCGAAACGAAGGTTACCTCTCTGTAACCGTGCCTATCTATCGCTTAACGACCAAGTTCAGTTGTTCTCGAATAAAGCTCAGAAGCACATGTCAATAATATCGCTCTCAGTCTCTATTCATTACACCACCTTCTGACTCCTCGGGATTTCGTGTACAATTCCGACTTCACCAGCGGACCTGGTTTCCAGTACCCATTTCCTCTCGCAATAAACACGGCACTCGCACTCTTAGCGCCTTTTCTACTTTTTTTGAAAAGGTAAATTTTTCAGTTTTTGTACGTGGATAGTACAAATAATACATGTCATCAGTTAAGAACTACAAGGGTTTTACTATTTAATTTAGTAGAATTTAATAAGAATATTTCACTGGTTAATTAAATTAAAAAATTCCACCGCCACCCGCATCGTCAAATATATATAATTTAGTAATATAGTTTTAATAAAATAGTATCAAAACGATGGTCGTCTGTATGTAAATAAATTATTATCTTTTTGTATTGACATAATGTACACCTTATATTTAATTACGTTCTTAGAGAGATATGTCAATTTTGTTTTATTAAAAAAGTTAAGTTTATATACAATTGTAGAATTTAACTTGGTAAAGATAGTATTACATGGGTTCTAGTTTACATCATGGTCTATTAAACAGCGAATATAATTAGTTGATTCTACAGCCGATTTAAGTAATTCGAGTTGGTGAAACTGGTCCAAACGGTTTTTTATCAAAAGCACGCACTCTTAGCGCATTTTCTACCTTTTTTAAGAAGGTAAATTTTTTAGTTTTTTTACGTGGATAGAATTTAACTTGGTAAAAATTATTATGTTTTATACATATTAAATACATGTGGCTTGTTATATATTCTTGCTAATATTTTTCTGTAAAAATAATATAGAAATATCTTTAGCACCTCTAGGCCATTGTCTTTTTATAACTTGTGCATCATCGATTTCAATCCAAGATGTTCCTTCTTTACACATGCTTGTATAATGAACCTTGTATAAACCCCCATCGATACACGAACCGTAATGAAATATAGCACTCATAACTTTATATGTCTGTCCAGCTATTATTATTTTCGTTGTAGGGACAGCACATAAACTAAATTTGTGTGGTATCTTTTCTGATTTACCATCCTCTGAAGAAAATGATGTTAAGTTGATAATAAGTATCTCTTTCGGCGGAACTAATTCACTTTTAAATAATACATCGTTTCTTCCACAACGTTCACATAATTTATCAAATGTCTGACACCAAGATGATGAAAACGTAGTTCTCAACAAACCATCAAGATTATAACTTTTTTTCTTCAGATTGTTAATAGATAATGAAAGAATAACATTATTATTAGTGATAACTTTTGTATTACCACATGAATTGCATCGATAATTACATATAACTTTATGTTCTACCATACTCTTTATATAATCATATTTTGTACATAGAGCTGTAAGAAATTCTAAAGCATTTCGTTTAATAACAGTCGAAAAATATTCTCCTAAAGATTGCCGTATATCATATGTGTTCAAATTAGACGTTCCATGTTCGTATTGATGCGCAAACAAATTTAAAACGTCAAGTTTATCGTAATTTAATAATTCCTTTCTGAAAGTATATATACAAGTTCAATAAACATTGTAATGTTGCATTTGCATAGCATGAAACTTTGTCTATATTTTGAAAACCGCGTATAATCCAAGCAGTTCTTTTTATTGGAGCTTCTTTTTGACCTGATTCTTGAACGGAAGTAATTATTTTTGACAATGTCCACGAAACATCTTTAACTTTACGATAACGTTGTTTCGAAATAGCGATTATTTCTGATTCTGGTTTACCTATTCTTTTCAATCGATTATATTCTATAATTGCGATTTCACTAGCAAACACGGACGAAGGATCAAAATTAATTAAATGTAGTTCATCAAGAGATGTTACTCGATATAATGCAACATAAACCTGACCACAACTAAATACATTGTTACCTAGATCCATAACAGCATTTTGCAATCCTTGACTTTTATGAATAGTAATACCATAACTCAAAGATAATGGAAATTGTTTTCTAACATATACTCTATCCATCACTGGAAACTTAACACTCACTCTTTCAATGAAATACTCTAAACCAGACGGTAAACGAACTTTTATCTTTTCTATGTAATCAGTAGTTTTATCCTGTGAAACTGATATAACTGTAGCAATTGTACCATTTACAAGTCCCAAACTAGCATCAATATTACGTCTTATCATAACTTTCGCTCCAATTTTAATTGTAATTCGTCTTGACAGTCCAGCTGTTTTAGTATCATCGTCATCATTATTTGACAATACCTTTTCTACTTTTTTTTTCGTATATGAAATACAATCAATCGTGTCTTTAGCAATTAAAAATATTTCTTTTGAAGTAATGCGATTTAACATTGCAGCATTTAATTGATCACACATGTGATTGTTAGGTAATAAACAAACGATAGATGTGAAATTATTAATGAAATCACATAATTCGTTTAATCTTGTCTCAAAAGACTCACCTTTGAAAGATATTTTTCTTTTCTCAAGAATATTTTCGCAATCAGATGGTATTAACAAACCGACGCGAATTCTCGAAAGTAACTCACGATAAGATCCGTCTCCTTGCTGACGCATATTAATCGTCAATTCATCATAATCAAATGAAGTAGTCCATAGATTAGTAGCACTTAAAGAACCAAGATATTTACGAATTTTTTCTTCTCTTAAGTGCATAAAAGCAGGATCTTCAAGTACAGGAGGTAACTGAAGGAGATCTCCAAATAAAAGAATGTGTTTTCGACCAAACCAACCATCATCACAATCAGTAGTATTGTATGTATATTTTACATAGTCGTAAGTTTATATACATAAAAAATATATTAGATATCATTGACACTTCGTCAATTACAATGAAACTAACATCTTTAAGATCTGTTCGTAAAAATTTCAAAACATGATCAGATAATGGTTTATATTTAGGAGTACGACCATGTTCAACGGGTAATTGGAATAATCTGTGAGCTGTCAAACCATTTACATTAAATGCTGCAATACCAGTAGGTGCCGTTATAGCAGTATCTTTGTTGAGATTTTGTTTTATCCAACATTTAAATGTTTGAATCAAAAAACTTTTGCCAGTACCTCCTTCTCCGCTAACGTATAACCGTAGTATTTCTTTATCTAATGATATAGTATCAGTGACTCTATTAAATACTCTTCTTTGATCCGCATTCAATTTTGAAATCATTTCAGATACATCGATTTCCTGTTTGTCACCAAGATCTTTAAAATCTTGCATCGCATCACCAGCTTGAATAATATTTTACTATCAGGAGACGCGGTAGCGTCTCCGGCCATGTTCAAAAAAACTGTGAGACGCTACAAGTCTCTTATCCCGAGCCATCAAAGTCCATTATTGTGTTGTACCTCTCGGTGCAACAAGATATTATTTTGGGATTCGATCCACTCAAAGGGTTGGAACCCACGAGGAAAACGAGGAAAGTGGTCAAGGTCGTAGAATTAACACACACTACACCACACTTTTATTAAAATAACCCCTTTTTATAAATAAAAATATTTTATAATAAATTATAACAATTACAATTTCGAGTGATTATTACCACTAGTTACATTTAACCCTTTATTTATTAATGTAATTACCCTATTAAATGATTACACTTTGGTTGTTACAATTCGGGTAATTGATTACAATAGTTGAATTTAATTAAAAGAATATACTCGGGTTAAAGTCCTCGCTCGTGACTTAGACCGGTCGGCGACACTCGTTATCGCGGATGTTATATGACTCGGTTCTCGCGACGCGCGTAACTTACCGTTACATTTAGATGTATGACAAGACTCTCTCGCCGGTCCTTAGACCGCCGAATATATAGGCGTCGCGGTGTCATCGAACTAGCGGGATGCGTGCCGTGTGCAATGCGGAATTCGTCCTCTTGCATTTCGGCAGTTCGTTGTCCTGTCGAAATGCAAGATTTGCTTTTTAGTAATAATTGTTCGATGTGCGGTCATTGCTTGCTTTCGATCAGTGATCGCTGTCCGCACGCGCTATGGAATATGCAGCCCTGCATTTCCGCAAGTCGTTGCTATGTCGAAATGCAAAGGTTGCTTCGCGGTAATAATCTTGCATTTCCGTCAGCTCGTTGCTAGGCTGAAATGCGAGACTTAATTGTGGTAGCACTCGCGGGCTACAACAATTGGGAGGAGTATAACTATTAAAATATAAAAAATTTTGAATTGAACGTCATATGTCCTGAAAGGCGGCATCGCCACGAGTAATTCGAGACAAAAAAATTTTAAATCGGTCAAGCCGTTCTGGAGATACAAGCGGTCGAAAAATGATGATTTTAATGAAAAATTAAGAAACGTCTTCTTCTCTGTCTGTGTGTCTGTCTGTCTGTCCATCCGAATTTAAAAATATCGTTATTTGACGGATAGTGAAATGTTACTTTTTAACATCCTCTTTTACCTTTCACTCGCACCTCCACCATCTTTGGCCCACCGGA